GCAGTCCCGTGGATGAATCATTATTTTTCCTCCTGCTCGCACTTGTTAGAGATAGTGTTTTGGTGCGCTGATCAAACGTCAAAAATCCCAGTTTAGTGGTTTCGTCTCGATGAGCGAGATCTATAGGTGAGGCAGAAGGAAACTAGCTGACTCTTTCTTTCTCTCGATCCGACGAAAACACCGGATGAATGAAACAGTGGACGAGAGTTTCCTGCTACCTCACCTATAGATCCTGTGCATTACGTCATACCCGAATAACGTTGTAGATGGAGATATTCTATGCTTTTGGAAAATTAGAAAGCCGAAATATCCTTGGTTGGCAGCCAAGTGAACGAGTTTTTAACACATCTGGGCTAACCGTATCTGCACGTCGGTCAAGCATTCACCCCAACAATGTGGATTAAACAATCTTCATTCATGACAATTACAGCATTTATAAAAATAGAGTTATGCAGTAAGCAGTGGCTTACTGACGAGGATTGGATTTACATAAAGACATCATCTTCAAATACATAAACAAAAAGTTATACGACTAAAGTGCGTGTAGATTCAAATATGTATCAGAGTAATAAAAGCATATAATTTATCGTGTAATGCTCAATAGATGAAAGAATTACTAGGGCCCATTAAAATGTTACGTAATGCAACAGATTGCTTTAAATACTATCTCACTTTGCCTTACGAGTCCACCCCCTGCAATTTTAGCAAGCACTTGACATACTTTCCCAAACAAATTAAATTGACTTAAAATTGAGTAAGAGTTACTCATATTTGAGTTCAGGTTACTCAAATTCGCGAAAACGTAGGTCACTCATAGAATGAGTCAATTTTCCGACGCTTTTCCGAGGAAAACTTCTCGAATACGAGGTAAACTGATTGTGATTTTAGTATGGCTACTAGTACACTTCTAATTTGTGTATAATTTTCTCCATATTCGAGAAATTTTCCCCGGGAAAGTGTTGGAAAATTTACTCATATAAAAAGTGTAACGATTGGATTTTCTCGGTCTATTGGTACTACTACTAGACTGAGAAAATTTTTCGTTAATTTTCCTCATTTTCCAGAAGTTTATTGAGGTTCTAAAACATGGGGATAATTTACTCATCGCTGAGTTTCTGCACTTTTTGTGATAAAGAATAAACTGAACTATAATTTGGGCCGTGCACAAATTTAAAGAGACAAAATCCAACTGGTCTTATTGGAATTCATTGTAAAGTTTGAAAACTCTTGGCCTCAACACAATACAAATGCGTACGATTTCTTCTTCAGATGGTAACGACAAACTAAATATTAAGCCTTCCCATGACTTAAAAAACACAGGATTATACGACACGCACGTATCAACCATATTGATCGGATAAGTCATCTCGAAAAAAAAACTTGCCTAGATGAAACACATACACAGACGCACATACAGCCATCAGCAAATTTAATCTTGCCGGGTCGATTTTTCATATTCAATTTGATTCTACGATGTCAAAAACGATGCAATCAAACTGTCGAGTCAGATCGAGCAGAGATCTATCGATTGGGAATGTTTTATACAGGTGAGATAGCTTGTGTCGATGGCTATCGATCACAGATGACAAAACGTGTGAAAACCGATTTCAATACTTATGTTACGGTAGTAACAAAGGTAAAACAGATTTTTCTGGCTACTTTAGAAGCTAAAGAAAGCACAGGAGGAATTCAGGCTCCAAAAAGTTCCGATGCGTACTCTTAGCAAACTTCAAGTTCAAAAAAAGTTCCAAAAAGCATCCCTAAGCACTTTTTAGGAACTTCAGCCAATGCTGAAAACATGGCCGCAACAGGGTTCCGCAAATCTAATTTCCCAGTGGAACTTCTTAGCAACTTTAAATTTTCATAAAAGATCCCTGTGGAATATTATGCAAGACTCCCTTCCCGCCCGTTTCCCTTACGTAATCAGTGTACGGCCCCATGCTCCGGAATCTATCACCAGAAGACAGAATCAAGTTTTATGATCAACCAGAAGTGGCAAAAGAACTTCGTTCCCCAGGCTGATGTGCTTACCCAGACAACCAGAATTACTTAGATGAACTAGCATACGGCTAAAAAACTCCTAAATAAAGGAAGAAAAAAAAAAAGAACAGACAACCAGAATGCACGTATATTCAAAGGTTTTTGTGATTTACAAACATATATACAAACAAAAAAATCGTATAGAATGCAAAAAATGGCTTAAACGTACAAAAGTGGAGGCCATATACATGCAAAATTTAATTCCTTTTTAAACGAGTTGATTCGACATTATATACGATTTAATCTGTAAAAACAAATTCAATTTGAAAAGTCTTACGATGGAATCTAATTTAATTTATGATACATAACGATTGAAAAATAATTCACTGTATATAAGTCAGAAATTTCCATTCTTTACGATTTAACTTAAACATAATGTGATGTATGTCATTTTTATATGCGATGTTGACTTAAACTGTAGCAATTCACGTTACTGTCTGTACATTGTTACACGACCTCTGGTTGTTGAACGGGCAGTTTGAGTCTTAAAGTAGAGCGTGTATGACAAATGACTGACCTTGGGCCTAGCTAGGCAGATCTGGTGCTGATGCATTTTGTCAAAACATTCTTGATAAACCGTATCCAGGTGCTCCTGTGAGGTTTCGTGAAATTAAACAATGTTCCCTGAAGCTGTGCAAAGTTTCCTAGATTTGCACAAAGTTTCCACTTCTTCGCAGCATAGTTTTCAATATTCTTTCGAGACTTCAGCCGCGTGCATTTTTTTTTCAGTTCCTTGAAGTTTTTTGAAGCTCTATGTTTCCAGAATATCTACCGAGCTTCCGGATTTGTTATTATGTCTCCTGAACTTCTACGATGTACCTGATGCTTCACGAAATTTCTTGAAGTTAAAAAAAATCAGTGTTCTTACGAAGTCCACTGATTTCTTTTTAATTGACTAAAGTTCTCTAAAGTTGGCTATTTTACATCAATGTCTGATGAAACTTTACATACATTGATGAAGGTTTACAAATTTCATTACAATTCTATACAGTTCTCAGTACCTACAAAGTTTCTTCAAACGAAGTTGAACTATTTTTTATCTAGTTCGCGTAATCACGTTAGCTTTACGGAGCTGATAATTCATTGTTCTTTGTTTGTAACAAAATTCACTTAATTCTATGTCTAGTAGGAGTTGGGCCGAATACTCGTGGCTTACCTGAGTATAGAGGGGTACATTGTCGAACGATAGAAAAAGTGGAGGAGCTTGGGGGTAGGGTTTCGTTGTCTCGTCAGAGCGATGTCGCCAGTATGAAATTAGTTGTACTTCTAAAAAGTTCACTGAACATTCACAAATTTTTTTAATTCTATAAATTTCAATAAATTTCAGAATTTTCTGCATTTCAGGGCAGTTTCCTGAATTTAACGTAATTTTCTGAACTTCCACGATTTGACTTGCAGTCCCGCAATGATTTTTTACAACGTTCTCCAAACTTCGCCATCGGAAACGGAGCTCTGGCGAATTTTGATTGACTTTATTGGCTATAATATTTTATTATTCAAATAAAAATCAGGCATTTCACTGGTGACTATTTTTCCACCAGATCACTATTTTATTTTTACGGATAGTTTCAGTTCTGTCGAGGCTATTCGCTCTATGAGGCCGGTAAAGCACTCCTCGTATTTTCTCATGAAAATACGAGAGCTTCTAAGTGCTTTATCTTTAAGATCTTTTGTCATCACCTTTGCATGGGTCCCATCTCATTGCTCGATTCCGGGCAATGAGATGGCGGACTCACTTGCTAATGTGGGCGCTATGGAAGGCGATATTTACGATCGACAAATCGCCTACGATGAATTTTTCTTCATTTATCGTCAACAGTCACTCGTCAGCTGGCAGAATAAATGGAGCGAAAGAAGTTAGGGACGATGGCTATATTCGATCATCCCTAAGGTGTCGAAGAGTCCTTGGTTCAAGGGGTTGGATGTGGGTCGAGACTTCATTCGTCTGATGTCTCGCCTCATGTCCAATCACTACTCGTTAAACGCTCACTTGTTCCGTGTTGGGCTGGGGGACAGCAATCTCTGTGAATGTGGACAAGGTTACCAGGACGCAGATCACATTATTTGGTCTTGTGCTGAGCATCGTGGAGTCAGATCTGAACTGTACGATTCCCTTCGGGCTCGAGGTAGACAACCTAATGTTCCAGTTCGAGATATTTTGGGTAGACGCAATCTGGAGTTTATGAAACTTATATATGTTTTCTTTAAAAATATTGATTTTAGATTGAAAGTTTGACTAACCTTGTGTTTAGTTTTTGTTTTGTTCGTGTGGGTTTTTTTTTAATGTTTGTTTCTGTAATAATTGTATAATTACACTGTGGATACCAAATTGAATAGGAATAAGTTCATGTTTTAGGAATAATGAAATATTTGTATAGTAAATCATAACTCAAACCTCCTCCTCCCTCTCCCCATCCATAAAACTGTAAATCTCTACTAACCTCGAGATAACCGCGAGTAATCGGTCCAGTTCCTTTAAATCTAGATTTAAGACATCAACTATGTATAACGCAAATGATAACTTGGCTCTGTAAAGTTTATTCGATTGAGCCTGTACAGATAAATTAATTAATAAAAAAACAAACTGGTGACTATTTGCCATAATTCAATCTCTCACAGGTAATATGCGACCACTGCATGATTGTTCGCCTTCTCAATAAACCGTAATTCAACCTCATAGCACGCACGCGATCCCATTTTCAACATAAATCATTTAAAATTCATGAAATATTTCACCACCTACTATGGCACAACACAGTTGTCACATTATAACAACTCTCGACAAACACAAGCTATACAATTAGTTCTTATTGGACATTCGAGAAACGCGGTAGAAAAGAAATGCAAGCCTTCAAATATCAAGCCGGCTGGACGCATATATTTGGGCCTAATCACCACTCTCTCGGGTTGTTTCAAGGACCCCAAATACGTAAGTCAATCCACGGGCCTCAATCGACAAAATGGATCGAAATTCGATCCACTATGAAGAGGCTCGCGAAGGAGTACTGCTCACACAGCACCATCCACGGAATGAGCTACATCGGTTCACGGAGATCCCTGCTAGAACGTCTCTGGTGGATTGCGGTGCTCGTACTCTCCGTATACGGTTGCGCGAGATTGATCAATAATGTATACCAGAAGTGGACCAACAATCCGGTGATTGTAACGTTTGACGATCGACCGATTCCGGTGTGGGTGGTTCCCTTTCCAGCCGTTACCATTTGCCCACAAGTGAAGTTCCACTCCGAATATATGAACTTCACCGAAGACTTCTACCGGCTTGCTAACTTTGGTGGGGCTTGGGAGCCTCTTGATCAGGAAAGGTGGTAGGATTTTGTAATAGTTGTAAAATGATCAAACTCTATTCACTGTTTCTAGACTCCACCGACTGTTGGCGGTTCTTCAGATATGTGACCAATTTTTCCAAGCCAAACCTAATTACCTGAAGATGTACGCTCGAAACTATTCCCACGCGGAAATGGTTGATATCCTCCGAAACATATCCATCGAAGCTGAGCAAACTATCTTGACATGTCGCGTAAATGGCGTGAGGTGTAAACAACTGTTCACCGAAACAGTGACCGACGAAGGTATCTGTTTCACATTCAATGGCTATTCCTCGTATGATATGTTCCGAGACGGCGTTCTGCATGACGAGTACAGATACTTGAACGGGCGGAAAAATATCACCAACTGGAGTCAGGATGCTGGTTTTGTCACCGGAAAATCCTATGAATCGTATCCGATTCGTGCACTCGGCTCGGGATTTGAGGCCGGTTTATCCATGAGGCTAATGATGGCTGATACGGATGTCGAAGAACACTGCCGCGAGCAGCAGGGGTTCAAAATCATCCTCCATTCACCAAGAGAGTATCCACAAGCCAGGAAGAGGTTCATTTTGGTGTCCTATTCTCAAGACGTGACACTTGCTGTGCGACCGATCATCTACAAAACTTCCTCAGAGCTTAGCAGCTACCCGCCGAAACGACGCAACTGCTTCTTCAACCACGAACGACCGCTGAAGTTCTTCCGAATCTACAGTCAAAGCAACTGCGAACTCGAGTGCGTGACCAACTTCACACTTAAGTCGTGCGGATGCGTTAAGTTTTCGATGCCACGATCCAAGGGAACGCGAGTCTGTCAGACTTCGGAAATTGCTTGTGTGATATTAGCTGAGAACAAGATGTTAAAGCGAGCGGCCACGAATCGGTTGAAGAAGCTGCAATCCTTGTATACGGCCTGCGATTGTATTCCGGGGTGCAATTCGATTCAGTATGATGCGGAAATTACGCAAACCAAGTGCGACTTTAAGAAGACCTTGGAGCTCCGACTTGGACCGGAGGATCCTGCTATTGGGGAAGCACTTGCGGCGTAAGGAAGTTGTCGAAGCGTGGCGGCTTTGTGGAGAGTTTAATCATGTTAATTACTTTTTCAGGCGACAAATATCCAAGCTAGCAATTTACTTTAAAGATACGCAATTTATCACATTGAAACGAAGCGAGTTGTTTGGAACAACGGATTTCATTGCAGACTGCGGTGGAATACTTGGCTTGTGCCTGGGAGTAAGTTTGTTCAGTTTGGTTGAACTGTTGTACTACTGTATGGTGCGTCCAGTGTTCATGGTACGGGACTCACTTCGAAATAAGAGAACTGTGACTGTTGTGAAGGAAAAAGATAAAGGTCGGTATTGAATTGAAATGGCTGACCTTTACAATGAATCAATAATAAACAATAAATAAATAAACAAATAAATGAATGAATAAGTTAATGAAAAAATAAATGCACGCAAACAATAATAACAAATAATAAATTGAAATGAATAAATCCATTAAAAAATATAGAAATAAATATATAATTAAATTAATAAATGAATGAAAAATAAATAAATAAATAAATAAATAAATAAGTAAATAAATAACTAATCAGATGAACAAATAATTTTATTTTTTATTTATTTTTGAGATTTTAGGCTGTAGGCTTGTTCATCTCGTTAAAAAAATAAATAAATAAATAAATAAATCACTTAGTCAATTAATTAATTAATTAAAAAACGAATGAATAAAAGAATAAATAAATAAATAGATAAATAAATAAATAATGAAAGTAAAATTTGATATTATCATTACTAAAATGTTATTGGAGCACAATTTAAATTTATCATGATTTACTTTTGGAAAGCGTATTTTTTATGACTGGAACGCAAAGGCAAGAAGACCACTTGAATCTGCTGTATGAATGAACTAGTCATATTTAAAAGTGTGTTTGTTTGTTTATTAATTATCAATTAGAGTAAGCAAGTCTTTTAATATACTAAATCCGAAGTACAAAAGTTGACGCATGAAATCATAGCTTATTACTGTACACAAATTCTAGTCTAGTCTAGTCTAGTCTACACATACACAGCCAGTACTTGAAAGAATCCTGGAAAATGAAACATCTATCATTTTTCTTGTCATTATTAATGCTTGCTGCACATCAAGGATGTGAAACAAACAATAAAGCGGCCAGGCCTACTGTGTAGCGTTTAGTTAATTTTTGTGGAAGTGAATGTTTACCATGTCTACTTAATAAGTATAGACAGTGGTTAACATTTAATCCACAGGTAATCAAAGAGCGGGGACATACCGTACCAACCGCTCCGTATGCAGGATTTGAAAATAGGCTATATAAATCGTTGGGAGTGACAGAGCTAAGAAAGTTAATGTACACTCCTTGGTTGTCCGATCTCCTGGGATGGAACACAGGTATTTACCCCTTGTGTTCGAGCGTACAGACCTCCCTCCGTACAAGCGTGGACGGCACCGCCAACCCACTGCCATCCCTCAATCGATCCAGCCGACCTCAGTCGAAGGACAACAGAGAGCGGTGTGCGGACGTTACCTATACGGAGGGAATGCTGTATTCGCCTAGGTTATAGCGCCCTTGCTCGCTACCATTTTCTTCTAGCGGTTGGGACCTGAGCACTAACTCTTGTCCTAGCCCTATATGGCATATGGTTATAGCGCCATTACTCGCTTTCTGAAAAGAGAAGAAGGGGAGGAAAAGGACTTGGGAAAAGGAAATGCGGAATTCCTTTCCTCATTAGTATTTGTATCGTCAACTTTTATGAAAACTATATAAATCATTTTTCCTTGGTCAGAGGTATTATTACGACATTTGAATAAGATTGTCTTATCATTTGTTATTCAAAATTTAATGTTATAATGATCAACATAGCTTTGGATTATCCAATATAAATCGGTAACACTGTCCTGCAACCGATGATTTTTCTAATCCGAAAACTAAAAGTTACGAAAAAGCACTGATGCCTTCATTAAGTTCCACTTTCACGCGACGTTCAATGGTTAAACAAGTAAACAAGTTATTAAAATGAAATCACGTTCCCGAAAGCAATCAACAATGTATCTTAAACCGGATCAAGCGTGCGCCCTATTTTTCTAAACATTCCAACGCGTTCTGCCCAATATCTATCAATTATGTTTTTCTACAATAGTAGCCTGGGATAAATCCTAATTCGACCGACACGTGTTTGTTGAAAATTTTTATTCTGCCTAATATCAGTAGTCAGTAGTCATTAGGAAACCTGTTACTATATTACCACACATGTATCCTTCTTCCATGAATTTGTTTTACGAACATGATCTAACACAACCTTTTTCTATGACAAAACTATATTCTGATAAAATTGGATCATTGCCTAGACCAACTATTGAAACTAAAGAACAAAACAATTGGCCACGTGTCTGGAATAATATTAACTTAAAGAACCTGAACCCAAATGAAAAATCTATTCTTTATTTACTTTATAATAGGAAAATTGATCACAGAGCTCATTTGTATCGCATAGGTATTGCTGACAACCCTAATTGCTTATCATGCGGATTCCTCAAAGATCTTGAGCATATATTTTGTAAACGTTTTTCGGTCAATCAGTCATGGAACTATTTTATTAGACATTTACTAAACAGATTTGATCCTCGTTTAATGCGCTTCTTAACCTTTTCCGGTTTGATAGCTCCAACCTTAGAAGAGTTTAGCAGGGATGACAAAATTATGATTCTAAAAAAATTTGTTCAGTTTAGTCCATATATTTTGGAAACAGAACGACATATGATCTCCTTGCCTAGCTTCAAATTCTTCTTAGAAATAAATGCCTGTAATTAGTTTAGAATAGCTTAGCTTGTAAGACATGTTTATATGTTAGGAAGACAGAATAAAGATTTTATAAAAAAAAAAACAGACTGATTTTGACACATTTGACTAATGCAATTTTTCATTCGTTCATTTATTGTATGTACTGTATGTATCTACAATCACACTCCTGACTGGCAGTGATCTTGCAGTGGTATTATGTATAAAATCTACCTGTAGCCATTTTTTTATGATTGCAAAAAGTTTGAACTCTGGAGTTCGAAGGTGATAGCTTTACCGTATACCCATTAGCCCATTTCAAGATCGCATGCTTCCGAAGATTTTGCTTACAATAAGCCCCGCTCCGGTACAGTATCGATGCTGATAATGTACTGAAACTTTCTATAAAACAGTAGCGCAAAATTTGATTGACGCGTATTTAATGATTTTAAAAAAAAATATTTACGATAGAATTACCACAAAAATTAAGGAACGAGCTCACCAAATTAGTATCCAGAAAGAACGGCACGGCTTAACAGGGTTTAATCAATGGGAATATTTTCTTTCCATGCTGATTTCACGGTCTAAATAACTAACACTGGCACAACACGGTTACTGAATACGTAAAAACTGAACTGGACTATACATTTGGAAATAATTCAAACGAAAATTCTTCCGGATGGCGTAGCGCCACCAGCCAAAACGCTGACAGAAGATTATCGCAAAAAAAAAAAAAAAATCCCGACAATAGAAAACAAACACGTTTAATCGCGGCCAAGGCACACTTCGATCGCATGAAATCATAGCTTATTACTGTACACAAATTCCTGGCATAAACTGCAGATACAATTCCAATATTCTAAACTACCTCTATTTAAAAATTGCTCTCATGGGTGTTGAGTGTTTAACGGTTGACGATAGCAAGTTCAAGCCATGTACTGTTTGTTGGAATAAAGATGTAAATTAGTCGCTGACCTTGGAATGGTACAAATTTCCCATTTATGACATTATGTGTTTGAGTTTTACGGTAGCAAGGGGAAATTGGAATAATGAATAGATTTTTTTTTTTCAAATAAATGAATAGCGATATGGGGGTGTTCAGATGATCAAAATTTTCATACTAGGATTTTCCGAGATAAAATATTTCATAACCATTTATTAGGTGGCTGGTGGGGTTTCCAAACCTTTAAATTAATTTATCTCCGTAAAAACGGCTCTAATCGCGATAATTATTTATGGAACAAAAAGGTTTCTGTAAACACACAGTTCGAAAAAGTTGTGTAAATTTCTGTTCAATATGATGCACATAAATGGAGTGTCGCATATCATATACGTTTACATTATATATCGTGTAAAGTTCTGACACATTTCATGCAATGTAGCAAATATTGTATACAAAAGCCCATATTTGTAAACAACATTGTTTGCAACTTACTCGGTTGCGTGAAATGAAATACAAGTCTACGTGAATGAATGTTTACATCACAAAAAAAATTAGGATTTTTTTTCTGTGCATTATTCGATGAAAACGTTCCCCTTTTGAAGATAGTTCAGTTTGAGTTACAAATATCATTAATGTAGCTCACTCTGCAACTAGGATGAAAATAATTCGACATTCTTCTAATCAAGAATCAAGAATCAAGTTCTCATAAAACATTAAGTAAAGAGCAAGCATTTCGATCCACTTGGGACGTCACAGCCAGTAAGAAGATTCTCGACTGAGATTTGATGGTAGCTTATTCCACCATTTTGCCACACGTTCATGCCTTGCTCTACATCTCTAGATCAGAGTTACCCTGCAGTGAAGTCCCCTGCCTGACGACAGATAGACCAGAAACATCGCCTCTGGCAGCTGTCATTTCCCACAGCGACTAATTGAGCCCCCATTCGTCATGCCGTCCGTCGTCAGACGAAAATTCACGTTCCATCACCACCGAGTTATGTCACGCTTGCCACCCACCCGGGAGCAGAAAGTGCAAGTGAGGCCGCTCGTTAAACTAATTAATATTCATGATGTAAAATGGCTTCGAAACGAGTCATTGTGAAGCCCCGGCGCAGCTCGTTGGATTTCTCTTGCATCAACGTCCGGATCCGATCCGTCTGTGTGTACTCATCATCGTCATCATCATTGACGGCCGTCTGTTCCGATTCAATATCCGGCCGATCTGAAAAAGGGTTTTCCGGATCTGGTTTTTTATTGCCATTTGCTTCCTGTGTGCCTCCTCAGCAATTCGATGATGACCATTGACGAGACACAAGCACAAGCATACTCAACATGTATGCCACCGAAATCAAAGCCTTCAACAGATCCATCCGACCATCCCTCGCATGAAATTTCGGTGGAGACAGAGCCTGGACATTGGACCGGTCGGCAGCCAGCCTGGTGTTGGGATTGAATTTTATTGGATTGGAAATAACTTGATTAACTTAATTGAATTGAAATCGATAGACGGTTATTTTATTAAGCGCTCCCACTCATGGTCATGTTTGGCTTTTTGTTCTGATCCATCACCGTCTGGTTCATCCGAAATGGTGTTTTACATGGGAGTGTGCTGTTTGG